ATCCTAAATGAGGAATGGACTTAACCGCGACTTTTTACATGCCTAACTGCATGGTCAATATGCACTTTTCCCTATGAGACGCAACTGTATCATTGTTATGTAGCGTCTCCATCCACTGTACTAATAAATGTTCACAAAAATTATTTTATATTGCTATTACCAGTGGGTAATTATCTGTATTAGTGTCTATTGTGTAACTGTCAAAAAATGATGGTCATGACTGTTGTAACCTATAATATCCACCACTGTTACCTATATATATAATTATTACAGGGATATTATAGAGAATGCCTTCTGTATTTTGCTAAATGCTATTATGTACCCAACATCAAACCATTGATGTTTCTTGTATTGTTTTTAGTATTTAATAAACTTTAATTAAAAGTAGAAGTATCTGTTCTTATCAGCTTGATGGGTTCTTCGCCAAAAAAGTTCCAGACCTGGATTTCGAGCCTGATCCTGCTCCCCAGTTTTCTGGGTAAGTATTCTCTCCGTTTTTTGGTTCTCTTTCCTCTACTCTTCTCTCTTCTGCCAGAAGAGCGGCCTGCACAGTTTAAACGCACCGTGTATTCGCTGCTCGACTGGCAACACTGTCCTGTCAATGCTAGCTTTGGCTAACGCCCTTTCCTAGTGCCTTACCCAGACACACCTGGGTGTCTTGTGTAAGCACCTTCTGCTTAGCAAATAGGCTTCTGTACGCTACACTCTCACTTCCTCTTCCTGCCCCTCCTTGCTTGGCTGCTCTGCACCCCAGGGGGCATTTCACTTTTTCAATCTTTCTCTTACTATCGTATACTACACATTGATCCTATTGGTCATGTCCGAACTTACTGTGCTTGTGCCTCTCCACCCACCACATGGATGTGAGATATGCCTCCCAATCCCCGGCGACTATGCGGATCATGCGGGATTGGTGAAACATCTAAAACATGTGCATGGGACTGTCCTTCGCTTTGAATGTCGTGCATGCGGATATATCCACGACAAATTAAAGACAATCAAGGCACACCAACTTCGGGTGGAAGACTGCCGAGCAAAGATAGAGGCCCTCCCTCCTCCTCCACCTCTCCCGGCAGATCGCAAAAAGATCTGCATTCCGACACGACCGAGAAAGCCATATGCACGTAGAGCACCAAGGGTCTCTTCCTCTCCCGCCAGTAGCAGTGACACATCCTGGCGATCAACAACTCCGTCCCCATCGACCAGGCCAACTACAACACAGACAAGAAGAACCACCCGTTCCGTGCGCACCATCCATGAAGTAGACCAACCCTCACAAAAGTCGACCGCCACTTGTGGACCAACGGCACCGCCACCTAGTAGCCAGGAAGTGGGATCCTCTACATAGTGCACATCCGCTGCAGAAACACAACAACCAGCGACCATGGCCAAGGAAGCACAAAGTAGGGGTAAGCGCTCCAATACTGGAAGAAGCTCCCGCTCACCTCGTACTCCCAACACGGGGGACACATCCATCCATGAGCCACACTCCATTCAGCCGTCGCCTGTGGCCTCCCATCCTGGAAACGGTGAAACAGCCAACGCAACCCCCCCTGCAGTACTGAGTCAACCTACACCCGCCACCAAAGGGTGTAGACAAAGAAGAGGGAAATCTACTAGGAAGCAGCCTAGTCAGGACTTGAACCATGGCAGCACACCGACACAGGAGGCCACAACACCATCTGCTCAGACAGGTAGGCACACCTCTCCTACATTCCATACTAACCTTTCTATGCCTAGCCCTACGATCCCGAACCAAGCAGCACCAGCCCCACCTGATGTGCTCCAGAGCCAGCAAGCCCCCCAGGAGTCAACACATCGGGACCAGCTGTCTTCACTGCCACAACTGGAGAACACCACAACGGAAATCGAAGATGGCCCCCCCAATGGGTTACAGCTTGGGCAAATAGGTTCAAGGCTGCCCAAGACGAAGATATGTTGGAGGGTATCCTCTTTGACTTTGTTCATCTCGCATATGACATCTGCGACATTCGTGGGCCACGCCGTACCTACAAGCCCAGCTCCAACAACACCCCAAACCAACAGCTTGAGGCCAGCGAAATACAGCCTCTGTACCGGACGAACCGAAAGAGAGCCTTTGACCTCATCATGGGGGTGACTCGCGGTTCTGCCAGGTAGAAACAGACAAGATACTTCAACATTTCAAGTCCATGAACGAGTGCAACCCACCAGCAACTACTCCACTCGTTCCAGTCCCACCAGACCCGGGTCCAGCAACAGATGACCCTCTCAACGTGCCATTCACGCCAAAAGAGGTCGCAGGTCGTATTGCCAAGGGCCATAACACGGCACCAGGCCCGGACAAGCTTAGATACCTTTATTGGCACAGGATTGACCCAAATGGTATCATCCTAGCGGCCATTCTTAATACAGTCCTTAATAAGGATTGGCTACATCCCTGCAAGCTGGCGTGAGTCAACTACAGTGCTGATATTCAAAAAAGGGGACAGAAATGATCTTCGCAATTGGAGGCCTATCTGCCTCTCCAACACCATGGGCAAGCTGTACACCGCCTGCCTGGCAGATAGGCTCCTCAGATGGTGTCAAACTAATGACCGCATATCCAAGTCACAGAAGGGCTTCTTACAGTACCAGGGCTGTGTGGAGCACAACTTCCTCCTGAAGACCATAATACAGGACGCCAGACGGGCTAGAAAGGAGTGCCACATAGCCTGGCTGGATATTGCGAATGCCTTCGGCAGCATCCCCCATAGTGTCATTTGGGAATCTCTCAAATGGCACGGGCTGCACCATCTCGACACTACAATGTTTATACGACGGGGCCACTACGAGAATCCGGACTTGCACAGACTTTACGAAGCCTATCAAAATGCTCTCGGGAGTAAGACAGGGGTGCCCCATCAGCCCCCTGCTCTTTATCCTAACAATGGAGCCCGCTCTCCGCCGTCTACAATCCCTCAATAGAGGCTATGACATCCATGGACACTCTGTGACTGCATTGGCCTATGCTGACGACATTGCACTTGTCAGCAACAGTAGTACAGGCCTGCAGGAGCAATTGAACTCCATCTCAGCTTGGGCACATTGGGCCGACATACGGTTTAATCATGCCAAATGTGGCACCCTTGCAGTTCTAGAAAAACTTCATACAGCAAGATCCTACAGCTTCACCCTCGGCCAGTCTGAATTCCCAAAACTTGGAAAAATGACGACGCCTATAAACATCTTGGCGTGCCAACAGGATTCACTCGTTGTGACACTGAGACTGCCACAACCGAAGGGGTAATACGGGACATCAGTAAGCTGGACGCATCGCACCTTGCCCCGTGGCAAAAGGTCGATGCATTGAACTCCCTCATAATGCCTCGCCTCTCGTTCTGCCTTGCTACGGGAACCACACCGAAGAAAACCCTAGACAAGATTGATAGGAACCTAAAACAGTATGTCAAGAGGTGGCTCAGCCTGCCGCAGAGGGCGAGCGCAAAAATCATCTACCTATCATACAAGCAAGGAAATACCAACGTAACACCAGCGAGCACACTCTCGAATATAGCACAGGTATGCCACGCCATACACCTTTTTCATTCTAGGGACGAGGACATCACCAACATCACACTGGGTGCTCTTAGGGACGTCGTCATGGCAAGAGTTGAAAGACCACTATGCAACGAGGACTTATGCCATTATTTGGATGGGTCCATGGAGGGGGACCTGGGCAACCCATCCAAAGATATAACATCACTATGGACTCGACTACGTATGGCGACTAGACGACTCCGTAAATGTATCAATATCAACTGGACTATGGGACCGGAAGGTACGCCAACGATTGCAGTAGGAAACCACATCATCCGCCCAAAAGGGTGCCAAGGTATGCTCACCAGCCTCCTCAAAAACCACCATCTCCAGAGACTGATGTCCAAACCGGATCAGGGAAAAGCATTTAAAACCACTGCAATGCACGAGGTAAGTAATCACTTCCTCTGCAATGGGCGTTACACCCGCTTTTCCGACTAGAGGTTTGTTCACAGGGCAAGACTCAGCGTCGTTGCACTGCGTGGTCATAAACGATTCGGCAACGAATCTAAGGCCTGCCGTCACTGTGGCTTTGCCCGTGAAACCCTCTCGCATATCTTGTGTCACTGCCCGCCGAACTTTAGGCTAATCACTCAGCAGCATAACGCCATCCTAAACAGACTGGTTGCAGCGTTTCAGCCAAGAGGTGCAACAATGTTAGTCAACAAACGTGTTCCCGGATTCCAAGAGAATTGCCGGCCGGACTTCACTATCCTGCATGAAGAGTCCAAAACAGCCACGGTAATTGACGTCACCCTACCATTTGAAAATGGCCAACAAGCTTACGACGCTGCAAGGGACGAGGAGAGAAAATACTACAACCTCGTCCAGCACCTGCGCAGCAAGGGTTACAACACGCACTTTGGTACGTTCATCATCGGAGCTCTAGGCGGCTACGACGCCCTCAACGAAGCCACATTACAACGCCTGGGCATCGGACGCCGCTACTCCAATATGATGAAAAAATTAATGGTGAGTGACGCCATCAGATGGTCCAACGATATATACCGTCAACACCTAGGTGACTGCACCCACCGCCCTACTCACTCAAACAACCTTGGGCCCCATCCCAATGTGCCACAAACTCAACCACAATCACAAGAGAATATATAAATACCCGTCCATTTCATATTTGTAATCTATGTATACATTTACTCTGCGTGAACAACTACTGTATTTGTTTCTAGCTGGCAAAATGTGCTCATGTTCGCGAATACTTACCCTTTGTACGGTAATCTGGTTGGCAATTATACAAGCCCATGTCGCGATACTTACATATTTGTACTAACTGGTTGGCAACTTTACAAGCCCATGTCGCAATACTTACATATTTGTACTAACTGGTTGGCAATTTTACAAGCCCATGTCGCGTATATTTAATCAACTATTCACACTCTATGTCTACATATTTTTCTTCAATGCCTAAGTAACGCCTGTATATAATAATTTTATTTAATAATAAAGGCTTTTTAAATCTGTTCTTATCAGCTTGATATCTGATACGGTTTCCATCAGAGACCTTCGATATTAACCTGAGTTTTGGAACTGGGCGGGAAAGGGAAATTGCTCCCTCCCCGCCGCGGGTTGCTCTGGCCTGGCACTTATTGCCAGAGATAGCCCACCCCCCTTTGGGGAAAAATAAATAATAAAAGATAAAGAAATTAATTATTAAGGAAAAAAATTTTTTTTCTTTTTCCAGTTGGAATTTTTTCACGGAAGATCCCAGAAGAGCGATTAAAGTGATTGCAAGACAATATCCAAGCATGGATTTGCAGGAATAAGAAATCTGGTGAATTGCAGAAGAAAAGGTAAGAGAAAATGTGGAAAGTGATAAACCGCCATCGCCGCATACTTCTGGTACGCTACGATGAACAGAAGCGATGCAGGAAACACCTTCCTGTGCTTTTGGTATAAATCGCTAATCGGCGATTCGAAGTTAATGAAAAAAAAGATAATTTGCAATTTTTTCAGAATGTAAGTATTGTGGACAACATGCATCGCCTGCACGTAGATGCCCCTGGCACCCCAGGAAAGGTAAGCCTTACTCTGTACATTGAAGTAATGCATGAGCGCGAAAATTTTCTAAAATAACAAACAAAAGCGAATTGTTTCAAAATTATTGCATGCAATATATTGTAATATCGAATCGGCAAATATTCTATGTCACATACTGAAATTTCTAATGTATTTTGCTAGCGAAAAAATATTTAGCATCGAAATGCTATCAGTATTCCACCGACGCAACGCGGGTACGGGCTGCGGCAGAATTTCCTCCTGTGATGATTGGTGACCAACAGGAGTTTTATGCCGTTGACAGGCAATACCCATGCAATACCTGACATTTCCTGTAGCCTTTAGCATCGTCTCCTATCGTTTCCTGACGTTCTTTCGTGTGTATTAACAGATATTTGCCGATCGACGTCACCTGGACACACCACAGGTGTATTGTACGTCTCCAGACTTGGCCCGTCAGCACCTTTGATGTGTTTTTTATCGCTTCTCGGCCTTCTTTGGCTAAGATCAAATGTGTAAGTTTTGGCTCCATATTGGTAAGTATTCCCTCTAGTACCTCCATTTGCTTTCCTATAGTCTTTTCATTTCCGCCAAAATACCGGCCTGCACAGTTGGAACACACTGTGTATTCGCTGGTAGATTGGCAGCACTATTACTATCTAGGGGTGCGCAGCACGCTGCAACCCCCCGTTTCCCCCCTTCTTCTCACACTCCCCCCCACTTTTTCAGCCAGGCGCTTATCTAATTTTTCCTGTCCAACTCTTCTTGGTCCTAACCAGCCGAGACTGCGGTTTGTTAGTGCTGGGCGTCCTTTTCTTAGTGCTAACATAACAGCTGCTATCTTGTAGTACGAACTTTTTGTGGCAGTGTGTGTCTATTCACCCAGTGGATTATCTACCTGTGTGTGACATCTGCTAGTGTGTGTGTTTCTAACCATTGTGGATACCTACTTCCAACCAGCCTGGATATTAGCCTGGATAACCGTAACACTTCGCCCTCACTGGAATAAGTGTTAGGATGGAGTCTACATCTGGTGCCTGATGTAGAGATCCTATGGGAGATAGACTTATGGACATCCCGCCGTCAACATCATCTGCTACTCCAGAACAGACTGTACTGAACTCCTATAAAGAGGTGGGGATGGAGGAAGCACAAATCTGCTCTCAATTGGAAGAGGAGGTGAATGATGTCCAACAGGAAACCAACGAATTGGATATCCCTATGATAGACAACAGCAACCAGAAAATAATAAGTGAAGAAGATATCTGAGTAAGATACGCGAAAATGAGAACTATCCGAATCGCAGCATAAGAAGAAATGTCAATACCAGACGTAATTGACGCATGCGAAAAAATAATTGGACACATAGGGAGTGTTTCTCAGGTGTGCTTCAAACCAAGAAACATTGTCGAGATTGGTTTCCACACTATAGAAGATAAGGAAAAAATGGTAGGACACTCAATCAAGGTAGGGGATTTTCAATATATATGTGAAAGTTTAGACGAGGACACAATTACGGTTACAGTTAAATATGTCCCACCAGAAGCGGATAAGTCACTGATAGAGAAAATGATGGCCCCGTATGGGAAAGTTGTTAAAGTGTTAGTAAATACCATAACTCATAATAACTTTAAAGTCAAAACCGGAACTTACCGTGTGATATTAAGAACAAGAAAAATGCTACCCAACTCCCTTGAGTTGTTAGGAAGCAGAGTTGAATTATTCTATAGCGGTATGAAAAGGCAGTGTAGAAGGTGCGGAAGTCTGGATCACTTGATCAAGGATTGTGTGGTGAAACTTTGCCATAGGTGCAAAAGCTCACAACACCTAATCAAGGAGTGCCCATTGTGCTATAACTGCTTACAAATTCATGACAGAGCCGGAAGCTGTCCCGAACCAACCTTTTCAGAAATATTAAAAAGAGGAGTAAGAAAAAGAACAAATGAGAAAAGAAGAGAAAAAAGTATAGAAAGAGCAAATAAAACAAACGAAGAAAAAGAAGAAAAAGAAGGGGATAAAAATATTAATAAAAATAAAGAAGAACAGATAATAGAGAAGATATCAGAGGAAAGCAAAAAAGAATACAGTGATAAAAGAGATAATAATAACATAATAGAGGGAAAAAGAATGAGATTCGAAAGAAAAAAAGAAAATAAACAAACAACCTTAATCAGAGTCGAGAAAGACACCCTTGAGATACATGAAAACAAAGAAAACGAAAATAATGAAATGGAGGAATCAGATAAGAATGAGAATGAAGATGAGGATAAAGAAGTAATCAATGTTAGAGATAAGATCCTATCAATAAGCATAGATGCTAGCTTATCTCAGAATGAAATTATAGAGGAAGTAGGAAAGGTAATAGAAAAAGTAGAAAAGAAGAAACAGAGAAAAAGCAAGAGGGTGATGTCACAGACTAAACATTAACATTCGACAAGTATACTCTAAATATTAAATCTCTAAACATCTCCGGTTTCCGTAGTGAAAGTAAACAGATATATATACTAAACCTACTACTAACTGATAACACTGATGTGCTCATGTTGCAGGACACAAATATGATAGACTTCTATGACCTTAGGAAATTAAGAAGAATATATACGGGATATAATATCTATTTATCCTTTGCAACGAGAAGAAGTACTGGAACGATCACAATGATCAAAAAGAGGATAAAAGTGAATAATTTTCGTACTGATTCGAATGGAAAACTAATTGCTATAGACATAGAGATAGGCAAAAGATTGATTAGGATTATTAACTTGTATGCACCACCACAGCTAGCACAAAGAAAAGAAGTGTTTGAAGACCTACCCCAATATCTTACAGGAAGAAGAGAACTAATACTAGCTGGGGACTTTAACTGCGTGCTAAATCCCCTAGACAAAAATGAACAACTCAGTTCTGATAGCTCGAGACAAAGCCTAAAAAAGGTTCTCGACAATTTTGACCTAAGTGACACATACCTAATAATGTACCCTCGTCATAGAGACTACACGTGGGAAGGTAGAAACATTAAGGAACGCCTTGACAGAATATATTATAATAAATCTATAGGAAAAATCAACAATATATCAAGTATCAGTATCACCAACAACAATACTAAATTAACTGACCACAAAATGGTTAACTTATGCCTAAGCATCAAAATCAACACTGAAAGGGATAACAGTCATAAAATCACAAAGGAAATAATAAATGATATACATTTTAGCAAAAAGATCAAAACCCTACTTGATAACTGTAAATCTAACATAACCTGGGAAGAATGGAAAGAAAGAAAAATAGAAATAAATGAAATAAGCATGGAAACATGGAAAGCTATAAAGAAAAACAACTTCAACAGACTAAAAAAGCTTCAAAGAGAACTAAGCCTCANCGGATATTTGCCGATCGACGTCACCTGGACACACCACACGTGTATTGTACGTTTCCAGACTTGGCCCGTCGGCACCTTTGATGTGTTTTTTATCGCTTCTCGGCCTTATGGCTAAGATCAAATGTGTAGTATCTGTTCTTATCACCAGGGGTGCTGGTGAACTTTAGAGAGCAGATGCTGGAGATTCGATGTGAGCCTGTTTAAAGCTGAAATGTGGATTATGGATTGATATTTAGTGCCTTGGAATAATAGCGAATGATATTTCGTCGGTTTTGTGTGGAAATTATCGAATTATTTTTCGAGTTTCTGTGGAAAAAGTGAACTTCAGACACCTGGACTATTGGATGAGATTAGAGTGAACTGGTAAAGTAGTGAGTACTTGTTATGAAAGAAACTTATAATAGAGTGACTTAATAACTGAAATTAAAGTAAAAATAGTGACTATTAAGTTAAATAGAGAATTTATAAGAGCGTTATGCGTGAAACATCTTAATGACACCCGTGAGGGGAGTGTCTTGTTGAAATAATTCTTATGGTTATAAATGTTGGCTAGATAAATGAAAGGAATTTAAAGAATAATGATAAACAGTAATAACTGCTAATTTATAGTACGATAAATATAAGATAATTAGCGTAAATGAGCCGAACACTTGAATAATACCCGTGAGGGGTGTGTCTTTGAAAGTCGGATTTTGGATTTAGTGAAGTGTCTTTCCTAGTTGTGTATTTTGAAATAAGATAAACGTTAAGATTATTGTAGAAGTGATAAAATGGAAGAGGAGGAAATAAATTATGAGGAATTAGAATTAAAAGTAATGGCTCAGGAAATAGTGGATTGGAAAGAATGGATAAATTATGTATTAACGACATTAGAGGATAAGGAAGCGTTAATACAAGTAGATGAAATATCTGATAGAATTTGTATGATAACTGCACGTAATGAGGAGGTAAAAGTTAAAATATTGGAATTAAGATGGGCGTGGAAGGAAAAACCAATAGAAATAAGAGCCGTTAAAGGCGATATAAAAAGGGTGCAAATGTTGCATGTGCCCTATGTGATAGATAGGAAAGACATAGAACAATCATTAAAAGAGTATGGAAAAATAATAAGAATTGAAAGAGAATATTATATGCCAAATACTAAGATATTGACAGGAAAAAGATTTGTGACTATTAAAATGCAGAAACCTATTCCGAACTTCATAGACATAAAGAACCGAAGGATTAGAATAGAATATCCGGGAGTGAAATGGTTATGCTCTGTATGTTTGTCTCCTGATCATAGAATTAAAGAATGCCCAAAAGTAAAGTGTTTCAAGTGTGGAATGATTGGACATAGAAAAACAATGTGTCCAAGTGGGAATGAAAATGAAAAGGAAATACAGGAGTTAGAAGAGAGTATAGAACAGGAAGTGGAAAATGAACATGAAAAAGAGAAAGAGAAAGGTAGACAGGAAAGTCCTAAGGAAAAGATTATGAAAGAGCTACAGGAGGTTTATGTAGACTTAGAGAAAAGTATAGAGAAAGAAAAAGAGGTAGGGAAAGAAAAGAAATTGGAAAGTAAAGGTGTATTAGAGAAAAAGATAAAAGAAAAAGAGGGAGTTAAAACAAGATCTCAAGGAAAATATCGAAATAAGTTGCCCTTCGAAAAGGGATTTAGTCCGGATGATGATGTATTACCGACAATTTATGAAGTGAAATGGAATGGAAATGAATATAAAAAGACAAGAGAAGAACTAGAGGAAGAGGGATGGTTGGAGACTGACTTTAAATTATGGGCAGTTATGATAACAGAACCGTACCCGACAGTGAGGAAGGAAATGAAAAAAGAATTCACAAGACGCTTTAAAGGATGTGATAAAAGCTTTTTTGCATACAAAGTAATGAATGGATTGATAAAATCGGAAGAAAAGTAGCATCGAATTGTATTTAAAGTTTATAATGTTGTTATTTGATTGTTCTTTAGGTTTTGGTTAAGTGTATTTTAATAGATCTTAAAATGTTGCTAAATAACAATAATTTTGGTAAATTGATGATTGTAAACTGCCTGTTTCCAACCTTCCCTCCCGCCTGTGTGTTTATGATGTGAACAGCAGGTCGGGTGGGGGGTGGGGACTGACAGTATGTTTCTTATTTTGAAGTTTTACATTTGATGTTTTTTGTGATTATTTTGTGAAATGACTTGTAATTATTATGGTTGTTGTAACTAATGGTTAATGTTTCTTTATTGAAATGTTCATTTGTTAAGAATTTATTGTAGAGGATTAATTAAAGTTGTTTTGGGGGGTGTGGTTTTTGGATGTGGGAGGTATTGTGAAATGTGTTTTATGCTATGTTTGATTTTTGGAAATGTCGCTTTTATCCGTTATGTTTTTTGCTAGTTTTAAGTACTTTTTTGGTTTTTGTGTTTTGTAATTAACATGCTGTGGTATTGGGTTTGGATGTTTTTTGTTATGTTAAGTTTATTGACGCTAAGCGCCATCCTCTTTTCGCTTCTTTGTACTTTACTGGGTCACTGTGGGCCCGTATTAGTGCGGTTGGGGATGAACGGGGATGTGGGCTCTGGGGGCACATTATAATCCCTTTCCCATAGGGGTTGTGCCCTCTCCAAACTTTGAAACCACAGTATCTGTTCTTATCAGCTTGATATCTGATACGGTCTCCATCGGAGACCTTCGATATTAACCTGATTTTTGGAACGGGGCGGGAAAGGGGGCTTGCTCCCTCCCCGCCGCGGGTTGCTCTGGCCTGGCACTTATTGCCAGAGATAGCCCACCCCCCTTTGGGGGGAAATAAATAATAAAAGATNTGTTGAAATGTCCAATTTGGACAATCTATCATTTCTGCTATAGGAAGGAGTTGTACTAAGGTTGTCTTGTCTTGATAATGTTCTGAAGTCTGATGTCCAGAAACAAATGCCAGACTGGAAATCCATTGAATTTAAATGCTCCTCGCACCATTAGAGAGCCACCATCTTGTTGTCTGTTGTAAAACACTCTGTCTTCTTTTCTCAGATTGCGCCAGTAGTAATTCCTGCCATCGGGACCATCTAAGTTCTAATTTTTTTCATTGCTGAAGAGTGTACTTAACCATACATCTTTCTGCTGCATGTAGCTTTTCGCCCATTTGTTCTTACTTTAAGATGTTTGGGTTTCAGATGTGGTTTTTTACGCATCCTTGTTAGTTTAATATAAGGATTTTTACTTATTATTTTCTGCACAGTATTTTTCAAAATATTTAAGCTAGATAGACTCTTAAAATTTGGCTAACTGATAAATTTTGTCTAGATGCCAGTCTAATGGATTTTTTACCTGTGAGTGATGTTACTTTAGGTCATGTTGCTGGTTTAAATTTACCTGCCAAAGCTATTTTGCTTGAAATTTCAGTAACTGAATGTCCACTTGCTTTCAATTTTCAAATTTCAGTCACATCATTCAAAGAAAATTGATTTTCTTTGGGCTTTTTTCATTTCTTTTGTTAATTTCAAAAATAACCATTATAAAAACAAGATTTTACGAGATTTTATTATTACTATTCATAATTGATTTCATTCCCTATGAATTTGTGTAGTAATTTGCTCAGAAAGTATTATTATTACCTAAAATTTTGGGACACCAAAAATCTAACAAAATTTCTATTATTCTAAGCAATTTAATAATTATTAAATCTTTAAATTTATCATATTAATGATATCTAGTATGATGTATTGTCATTGCATTTGTCTTATTAAATCAATTAAAAGTTTAGTATTTTAACAGTTTTTCATGAAAAATTATTTTGCCTGAACTTTTGGGACAGGCCTGAAATGTACATTAATGTGGTAGAAAATGAATAACTTTTCATGAAAGAATTTTATAAGGAAAATTTTAACAAATACAGTATATTAAAAATGAGCATATTCTAGATTGCCATAAAAGAAAACAGCAATATTTATATCTTTCATATTAAAAATGAAAAACAAAAAGAAATTAAAAATATAACCAATTCATAAGCAAACAAGTCCATAAGTAGGCTACAAAATTATCTATTCAGTCATTTTCTAAATTATTTTGAGAAAGTTTTGCCATTTGAATAAGTAAATTTATCATTCTGCCAGCATCTTAATATTGAGAAAATTCTTTTGAAATTTGTTAAATTTGCATTAAAATGAATAATTCTTTTATAGATGAAGTATTGTTTTGTTATTATTACTGTATTTGTTTGATTTTCTTAATTTTTATCTTTTGTTTTCATTTGATGTTTTTCTATTCCCAAATTAACAATAAGAGAAATACTTGCCTTTTTAAAATTTGTAGTAATTATTATTTATTTAATATAAGGAACTATGGAACTGTTGTATAGTTCATAAAAATACAATATTGTGTAATTTAAATTTTTAATAATTTAGTAATTAAATTAATTACTAAGTTACAACACTTGAAGGAAATATTTCAGAAATTTCTTATTTCCCATGGTCAACACTGATCTTGAAATTTATCGTTATTGATAAATGTTTTCTCTAATAACGAAATGTGTGACATATTCTCAAAGTGTGCTATCTTTTCTGGAAAGGTTCTGGTAATAGTGTAATTCTTTGGAAGATTTTTGAAATCTTTCTAATTTCACAATTTGTGTGCTATTTTCAAAATTTTTAAAAACATTTCTTAAAGTGTTAGCTATTTCTTGCAAAGTTTGCAAGAAATAGCTAACACTTAGATTATAGATTATAATCTAACACTTAGATTAAAAAGTTATA